TTCACCATTCAAATGTATATTATAGAGGGTTATTTTGGGTATGAGTTAGAAATTGACTTTTTCTACTTATTATAAAAAAATATGTAGATAAGTTAGCTTTTTTATCAAATGTCTTAGATAGGTATAAGACGGAAAATTTTATTTCTACACACCAAATTATTTCTGTGTACATTTTTTCTCAATCCACACATTTAGTAATTTGATTTTTACTATTTTATCTCAGTTCACGCACTTCACATTCTAAATATACCCTTATTTTTTCTGTGCACATCCTCTCCTTGCCCTTTTTGTTCAGAGTATTATGATATTGTTGGATTGTGTTGTCACATCAACGACGAGCATCCTGTAGAGGCGAAGAATTATACTCGTTTTTCTTGCTATTGACGATTTAGTTATGCAAAATTTTATATTTTTACTTTATAGATATGTTTTCTCATGCTTAGTGTCTTTTGGGCATTTCTGGTCTATGTTTGAGTTTTGAAGAATTCTTTGCATTTCTTTACTGTTTGTTTGGCTTCAGAGCACCTAATTGAACTCGAATTTTGCTTTGTTGATGATGAGGGACTCACAGGAAGACTTAAAATGCTGTTTTGTTATTGTATGACATGGATTGTTGCAATTATATTCCCCTGAAAATAAAATAAATAAATAAATATTTGTGGGGTTCATAAAGCTGTGTATGGTTGAGGTTTGGACATGGGAGGCGATGGACGGCGGTGGTTGGCGGTGAAGTGATTGGTGAGATGGTGGTGGATGAGATGTGTATGAAAAAATTGTGAGATGTGTGGGTGATATGGTGGTGGGTAAGTTGGTAATTTTGTTAAAGGATAAAATTATAATTCTGAAAAAATTCATTAAGTGTGTGGGTAAAGAAACTTGATGTGTGAAAATAAAATTTCTCGTGTAAAACTTACATTGGGGTTAAAATAGTCATAAAATGATAAAATAAATTAAAAAGTCAATAATTTTTTTCTCACAGAAAGTCAAAAATTTTATTACAAACGAGAATTTTTTTTGTTTAAAAAAAAGAGAGTTTTTAACCAAGATTAAAATACTTAAAAAAATTAAAAAATCAACCATTTTTCAAACAAAAACTTAATAAAAATTTTGAATTTTTAGAATCTCTATTTTATTTTATTTTTTTTATAAGAATAAGCGAATAAAATAAATTTATTGAGGATGATGATGGTAGTATTATTGAGTTGGGATATGTATGAACGCTGACTCTGTCTATTTCACTCATTGTCATTCTGTTGAATGCGTTCACACCATCTCTCGCACATTCCGTCGAACACTTGAAAGGCGACGACTTCCCTCCCCCACAACAACCCCTCTCTCTCTCTCTCTCTCTCTCTATAGATATATATGAAACTCACATTTCTGGCTGAAGAAGCTGATTGCTTGTAAAGTTTGATCATCCCGATGAACGATACCGTTACCAACGGCAGCAAGAGAAAGAGACGAAGAAAAGATGATGGCATCAACAACAACAAAAACAGTGGTGGCGATGAATCGAGCGAGAAACAACAAGGTAACAAAAAAAAGGAGGGTTTGAAAGAGATTATAACCTCACTGTTGTTGATTGACGAGCAAGAAAAGCTTGATTCAGAAGAGTGGTCAAAGACCCAACAAGAAGATAAGCTCTTATTCGATGCCAACCACAAGAAAAAGACTCGGGCTATGTTGGATTACTACAACAAGTTACAGGGTAGTTTTGATTATCTGGATCAAAATGATCGTGGGTTGAGAAGGAGGAAGTCAAGAGCTGCTGCTGCTACGGCCGCTGCTGTTGTGACTGCCGTGGCTGGGGCAGAGGAGGAGGAGGAAGAGGGCGGCGGTGGTGGTGGTGGTGGTGGAGCTGCCACTCAGAGGAGGTTGTGGGTGAAGAACAGGTCCCAAGCATGGTGGGATGAATGCAACAGTGCTGAATTTCCAGAGGAAGAGTTCAGGAAAGGGTTTAAGATGGGGAAGGAGACATTTGAGATGATATGCAATGAGCTAAGTTCGGCAGTTGCCAAAGAGAACACCAGTTTGAGAGATGCAGTGCCGGTTAGACAGCGTGTGGCTGTGTGTATATGGAGGTTGGCTACTGGGGAGCCTCTTAGGCTTGTTTCCAAGAGGTTTGGTTTGGGTATATCTACTTGTCACAAGCTCATTCTCGAGGTTTGTTCTGCGATTAGGACTGTTTTGATGCCAAAGTATCTTCAATGGCCAGATGAGGAGTCTGTGAAAAGGGTTAAGGAACATTTCGAAGCAGTTTCTGGGATACCCAATGTGGTGGGATCAATGTATACTACCCATATACCAATCATTGCTCCTAAGATTAGCGTCGCCGCTTATTTCAATAAGAGGCACACCGAGCGGAATCAAAAGACATGTTATTCGATTACGGTTCAAGGTGTTGTTGACCCAAAAGGGGTGTTCACTGATGTGTGCATTGGATGGCCTGGATCAATGCCTGATGATCAGGTGTTGGAGAAATCAGCCCTTTATCAAAGGGCCATTGGAGGGTTGTTGAAGGGTGTTTGGATTGTTGGGAGTTCTGGGTACCCTTTAATGGATTGGGTTTTGGTGCCCTATACGCAGCAGCATCTGACTTGGACTCAACATGCGTTCAATGAGAAAATTGGGGAAATTCAAAGGGTTGCAAAAGAGGCATTTGCCAGAATGAAAGGGAGGTGGACTTGCTTGCAAAAGCGAACAGAGGTCAAACTTCAAGACTTGCCGGTGGTTCTTGGGGCGTGCTGTGTGTTGCACAATATTTGTGAAATGCGGAATGAACCACAGGTGATGTGCAATCTTATCGATGATGAGATGGTCCCTGAGAATGGTTTGAGATCGGTAGCTGCAATGAAGGCTAGGGATGCAATTGCACATAACCTTTTGCATCATAACCATGCGGGCACTTCTTTTCAGTCTTGAAAAGGAGGTGCATTTTGTCCTCTGAGATTGCTTCATATTTTTTGTTTTAGTGTTTTTTTAATTTATATTTATGCACATGTTATGTCATCTTTGTGTTGTAGAATCATACAATAGCGATTCATCACTATTTGTAAAGGGGATCTGTAGAAGATATATTTTCTCCTTCAGGATCATATTGACTTGTAACCTAGTTCACTACTTAATATGACAATTAACAGCAGAGGTGAAAGGAATTTATGATCAAAATATTCTTTTTGTATCGTTCTCGGGTTTCCAATTTATTATGGTTTTTATTTTATTTTATAATAACATTTGATTTCAAAGCATGATCTGTTAATTATGTAATAGCATTTGCCACAATGCATAAACCAATAAATTTATTTCTTCTGTACTCACCCCATAACTGAGTTTCTTTCACATCATGAATTAGAAGTGTAGAGAAACTTGTTGCTTGGAACTGTGTTTAGTAGGAAGATTTTATACCTAACACATCTGTTTGCACATTTATTTCTTCTTTGTCGCTCTATAGAATATAATCCTGATATTGCTAGGAAGACCACAGGTTGTTAGCGATTAGGTTTAGTTAGTTAGAGAGGAGGTTCCATCTTCTGAATTAAATGTATCAATGTTCACGAGTCTTCTGCTACAGAAGTGTGCCAGGGTGCTGGTTAATACTATTCGGAACTGAACCATATATTTGATGGAATACGTTCTGATGGATATCAAGTATGAGCCAATTGTTGTTTTGGGAATAAATAAATAAATTTAAAAACTAACTTTTATTCTACTTCTTAAAATAGGTCTATACAAACATTTAGCCATCTATTATTGGGCAGCAAAATGCTTGGTGGTCCGAAAAGGAGCAGTTCAAATGGTCCAAATGAATGTTGACCGGTTATCCGTCTGAATGACCGGATGAAAATTTGTCTACCACGATTGTCACCTTTGTCTACTATGACTGTCAGCCTCCTCACCGGACGACCAGCAAAGTAAAATTCGACCCATGTGAGCCAACCTCCTTTTCGGACCACCCAGCTTTGCTCTATTGGGCAAGACACTAATAGACTGGCATTTCTAGAACATACTACAATAATTACCCCATTTGTGTATGTTCATTTGATGACTCCGAAAATTGTAACAACTTTGTAAGGAGTATAGTAAGGGGCTCCTCCAGAAAATCATTCTTACTATTACAAAAAAAAAATTAATTAAATTATGCAAAATAATAAATTGTTAGATTTTATTTGTCTTTAAAATAATAAATAATTTATAATCAAAATTATATTTGTATGTGTTTACATTGTCTGGATCAATAAAATGATCCCATTGTAGCCCAACCAACTGGAGGTAAGCCAATCTCCAAAAGTTTTCACAGTATCCAAATTGTCATTTAAGCCACAAAAAATGACATAAAATTGGACTGATAAAATATACTTTACACTCGCATTTTACATAACATTTTACCGTCCCTCAGTTTTCAATTATAACAATCACCATTTTATACTTTCAGTCAAGTTAATATAATCCTTTCACTAGTTTGGTATTAAATTGTTAATAAAAAATTATCATGTGACCCTCACCCGAAGCAATTTTTACTGCAAAAATATAATTAATTTTTCATAATTCGCTCTATTACATTTTCAAAACCCACCACCATTTATCATCCTTTCCCCTCTACCCATGTCAGGTTCAAAAAATTCAGTGAAAATTAGAAAAGAAAATTAATATTTACATTTTTCTTACAAAATGCCTCGCGTAAAAGTCACACGACTACTTTCTATTTGACAATTTAACACCAAATTAACAAAAGAACAACATTGCAATGTGACCAAAAAAATAAGCGATTGACTGTTACAAATGAAAAATATAAAGTGCAACAGTGCATCGATAATTTATGAAAACTGAGCCAAGCTTTACAATTTAAGAACCAGTCTGGCCTGAATTGCCAATTCCGCAGAATTTTTTTTTGCACCCCTAACCCTAAGAAAACATTACTATAACAATATTACCACGAGGAAACAAAATACATAATCTAAACCGCAGAAGACCATTTATGCAACCATAAGAGATATAACAAGAACAGGTTCAATCTATACCTTTAATATATATATATATAGATAGATAGATAGATAATTAATGAGAACAATGATCATGCAAAGAGGATAATGTTGTACCCCACAAACAAAATTGTCAAGATTACAGTGAACCACCACCAGGTACTTAGCACAGAACAAACTCTAGTTGAACCAACTGAAAACCAGACCATCTCAAAAAGCACAAACAGATTCATACCTCAAACAAACTAAACACATCAGGTTTATATATGATCAAATATTTTATCTTATTTTTTAAAATTTAATCAATCCACCAAGCAACCCTTTTCATCAAAACTCAGATCCTAGAATGAATGCCTTCTAGGACTTACTTCTCATCAGTTGGATTGTCCTTCGCAGCATTCTCTTCTTTTTTCTCCTCTGTAGGCACCTCCTTCGTTTTATCCTCTTCATCTTTACTCTTCTCCCCTACTACACTCAACTTCTCCAGAAGATTAGCAGTGGAGGTGGCTTCTTCGCTCACTCCAACCTTCTCTTGAGATTGAGCAACTTCTTCTATCTTTTCTTTGAATGTTTTACAGTCTGAGGAAGAGAAGAGCAAATCAAAAAAACAAATCAATTGAACATATATATACTGTTATATCAGTATGCAATATGCAAAATATTCTTCTTAATCACCCAAATGATCCCGTTTGCATCCATTTCTTCATAACATTCAAGGAGTGATTAAATGGCTGCCATTTCTATTAGTCTGAAAACCCTAATGCTGTGTTTGGTTGGGAGATTTCGGGAGGGATTTGGAAAGGGAAAGGGAAAAGGTGTGTGAAACTAAGTGAAATATAGGCATGTTTTATTCACATTTCACCTACCTTTTCCATTTCTCTTTCCAAATCCCTCTCCAAATCCCCCAACCAAACACAACATAAATGAAACAAAGCTGAAATACGAACTTGAGTTTTAAAAACATGTATAAGATTAGCTTCTAACTTTTCTCCCATTCTGTATGCTGTTTGTGCAAAATGTACCACTCGAGTGGATTCTACATTAAACTTACAAGTATTGTTTTACAATATTACCCATTTTTTAAAGACCTAAAAAAACACAAAAGCGAACAGATGTGTTTATAAGAACATAGACAAGATGACTCCAGATTAACCCCGACTAAACCAAAATGGCAGGGATCTACTCAATGAAGACAATTCACGCCTAGAGGCTCCAACCTGATGCACTAGCTTATTTTATCCCATAACATGAGTGGAAAGAAAAAAGGAAATTGCAAGCAACTGAATTTTCCCAGCCCGCAGGCATGCCCATAAAGAAAGTTAGGCAGACTACCAGAGCATTCAATTGATGACAGAACATCAAAGGCCAAACAAGCTGCAATGAAAAAGGAGCCACTTGTAAAAATAAACTAGAAGATGCTGCACATAGGATCGACATGATAAAACTCATGAAAGAAGGGATGTAACGTTTTAGGATAAGAGGACAGAACAGTGGTTGCTTTCATTCTACATTCTTTGCATGAAATCAAAATATCATCCTTGCAGCCTAGCTTAAAACAATAGAATAGATACACGATCACATATTTATATGCTAAATTGTCAACAGAGGAAACTAATGTTTTAGAATACAGCCAAAGGATTATTGAAAACTCTTGTAGAAGGAGTCTCTCACATGATATAATTAAGGAAGAATTATTAAATGATAGTTCAACAAGTATTAAGCAAGAAGGCAGCTTGTGGATCTTATTATAATTTAGGACTATACTAATACAAAATGAAACAGCGGCTAGCACGCTAAGCTAAGATCAACCACTTGGAGACCGCGGAGCCTTGCTTTCTTGTCATTCTTAATAAGTGGATTCCGATTCATGCAGTCGTTCTTTGCTGCATTGGTATTTTCACTCCCCACTCTCCATCATATCAAAATGTTTCGACTATAACTCAAGCAATCAAAAAATCCAATCTATGTAAAAAATTTTACATTATTATAAAGTGTATTTTGACTTTTTTATTTTATTTTATTTATACATCTAATGATTTCGTGCGTCATAAATTCATACTACACCAGCTTACTAGTATTTATTTTGTTATTAATAGTTATAGACTATTTCAAATTTGCAAGTTACATGATGGAGCCAAATCAAGAAATTGATTTCATTAGAACAAGAAAGTCCCAAATTAGGATACAAGAGCTCTCAGCTCTGAAAATACAATCTCAAAATAGCATAAATTGAGTACTAGAAGGGCATAACCACCTATTCATAGAATTAAAGACCCAACTAACTCCAACTAACTCTTATGGTATTAAAAACATAACCAACATACTAATTCTAACTACATCATTACATATGTTTAATAAATAAATTTGCATATCATCGTTGTTATTCTATTAAACAAACTAAAATCATGTGATTTATATCTTCAATTTATTCAAGTAACACAACATACAAGTTACAACTACATATAAAAATTTCAACAAAAAAAAAAAACTACATATAAAAATTATGTTCAATCTTTAATGCTGAGTGAACAAAATAAAGACAAAAGCTGAAAGATGAGCAAAAAATTGACTTTTAAATGTAGTAGATGTCGTCACCACTATTACATAATTGCCATAACCATAACATGTTGTAACGGCCCATTACGGGCATTACATGTCAAAGCCATCACAGGTGAAATTTAACCACACTGCTATAACAGCAAGAATGGGTTGCTGTGACTGCCCGCACACGATAACGTAACAACCTTACATAAGGGTTCCGGCCAAGGTTCTGAAAAGCGGTTGCAGTCGCCGTAACGGTGGCGGTGACGCGGTTGCGGTTGCGGGGTGTAAAGGCCGTAGTGTAACGGTTGCGGTAACCGGAACCGCGAATTTTTTTATTTTTCGCACAATTTGAAAAAAACTTACCGATACGCATATTTTTTTTCCATGATCATATTTATTTAGTTGAAAATAAATATTGATCAATTTTTTAAAATTTTTAAGTATGATGCAATATATTTCATATTTTTAAATCACTATAAACTGAGTTTTTTACATTTTATTTTAATAATTAATGACTTTATATTATATAAAAAATCAATCACTAACCAATATAAATGTTTAATAATATTAAAAATATAAAAATTATATAACATAAACACTCTCAAGACTCATTCTTATGAATTTTGAAAGATGTCACTCTCGCACCCGCTCAACCACCTGGTGGCTTAGCTTAGCCTTACCCTTGTCATGTCCAGTGGACACATGAAACAGAGTAAATAAACCTGGCTGCACATGTGAAGGCATCCTTTTGAAGTGAAAGAAACTCTATATAGGGATTCTGTAAGTATGCCAAAGTAACTATTACAGTTAACTAAGCTCAATCACCATGAGGATGAGACTAAAGAGCTCATTGCCCGCAAAACCATAGGAGTAGTGAATGATGCAAGAAATGATTCAACAACTTAGATAGACAAAACAAGAGCAGATGATGATAATTGCCTCTGATATTCAACATCACATTTCTCTAGTTCTCACCTTTTACAATTCCAAATTATGAGAAAGCTTAAGAAATACATACATGCACTTTTTCATACTGGCAGATACACTGATTTTAATTACATTATGAAAGAAGCAAATTAACATTAACACCCACAATGCTACAAAAATAGACACTACGATTCACATCCCACAAGCATGAGAATAATAGCATTAATATGAATCAAACAGTATTTTCACTATAATAACAACAAAACCAGTCCCAGCTTCAACAAAGAGAATACAAGCTCAGCCTCTTTGGATAAAGTCCTCGTAAGTCATTGTAAAGTATATAAATTCGGAAGCAGAACATTAATATGGCTTTACCAAAAGTTTTTTTTTATCAAAAACATGAATGCCGTCCAAGATCAAACCCATACCACTTCTGATTATGTATCATGATGTTGCCCAATTCAACAAAGAACAAATAACACCTTAATGGCTTCCCTAATTTTTTCAAAGCACCTCTAACACAAAGTTAATAGCAAAATCAGTCCATTAGGGCCTGTTTGATTAGCAAAATTAATAGTGAGGTAATTATCAATCGATGAGATTAGTGTAAGATTGGTATTCAGCTGGATTAGTGAGATACATAATTCCCTCTTGTCCACGTTTGTTTTGCAATAGATATGGAAATAAGGTTCTGAAAAACGGTTGCGGTCGCCGTAACGGTAGCGGTGGTACAGTTGCGGTTGCAGGGTGTAAAGGCCGTAGCGTAACGGTTGTGGTAACCGGTACCGTGAATTTTTTTATTTTTTGCACAATTTAAAAAAACTTTCCGATACGTATATTTTTTTTTCCATAATCATATTATTGGGTTTTAAAATAAATATTGATCAATTTTTGTAAATTTTCAAATACGATCCAATATATTTCATATTTTTAAATCACTATAAACTGAGTTTCTTACATTTTATTTTAATAATTAATGACTTTAACAAATCAATAACATGTTCTTCACCTTCTCTCTTCTCTTTCTCTATCTCTTACTCATCCATCTTCCCTTTTCACCCCTCTTCTCTCTATATCCCTCTTCCCTCATTTTCATCTTTTTTGTTTTTGTTTTTTTTTAAAGAAGTAGTTCGGAACCATTACGTGACGGTGCGTAGCAGGTCGTTACGGCCGTTACAGTACCGTTGCGACCGCTACGGCCGACACACCTGTGAATCTCAATCACACTGCAAAAGCAGCCGTAACAGGTAGCGGTAACCACCAAAACCGTTACGTAACGGTTGCGGCCGCTTTTTAAAACCTTGTATGGAAATATATAATCCCAATTATATGTATGTTTTGCACTATTAGTTGTATAGGATTAAAGAATGGGACAATTTTGTTAGATAAAATTACCATTAGAATCTAATCCGAATAATAAAATTTGCTACCAAACAAAGAAATGTGAATCTATATATATATAATTATAAGTAAAATGAGTTTTTGTAATCATGTTTACATATATATATATATACTATGAAGCACGAATATTTCAAATAGAAAGGCGTATCTGTATCGAATACCGATACTCCTTGAATACTTACGGATACGTATCAGATACATATTAAAAGTATCGGATACTTCTTAATTAATTTTTCATTAATTTTGAAGTATCGGATACTTAATTTTGAAGTATCGGATACTTAATTTTGAAGTATCGGATGCTCCAAGTCACATATTATTGGACACTTCTTAATTAATTTTGGAGTATCAAATGCTCCAAGTCGCATATTACTCCTTTTACGAAATTAGAATTGTATCATTTCTTGCATAATATCACAATATAATATAATTGCGAGAATAAATAGAATATTTTTACAATACTTTGCTTGGTTTTTTTATAAAAATAACATAGTAAGCTAAAGTAATAGAATTCACCAAATTGACATATCTTCGTTGTATCATGCATGTCCCCTATAACTACATAGAAGTAAGGATTAATAAGATAATATAACAATATTAAAATTAAATATCAATAAACAAATAAACAAATAAACTTGCAGAGAATATTTTTGCCTAGTGCAAAAGGAAGAAGCATAAGGTCAAGTTGTGGATTGTTTTGATATTGTAATATCAACATATTAGACTTGATATTGAAATGAAATATTTGCAAGACCTATCGAAAATTTAAAAACTAAACTAGCTACTGCCTTAAATTAATACTTAATTCTTAAATATTAGTATTTTGCATCATAAAGTTAATGTGATTTCTCAACATTCCTGAGCTTATGTGTAACTCACTGCTAATAATTTATTTATTTATTATTTTTTACAAATGTATCCTAACAGTACCGTATACTATTTTTTAAGTTTTGCTGTATCGCCGTATCCGTATCGTATCGGTACCTCATATTCGTATCCGTGCTTTCTAGTATATATATATATATATACATATTTAAAAACACAAACACAAGGAACTTCATTGAAATTCCATGTTCATTGAAATTCCATGTATATTCACATAAGAGCCATCCAACTTAACCCCAATAAATAACATAATAACTAATTCAGTCAAACATTAAAATAAAAAAATTAAATAAACAGGATGATAAACAGACAACTCACTCTCAACAGAGGCAAAGCGAATGCAAAAGAACTCCTCTTTCAACTCTCCATCAGCAAAATCAGTGGCGTGCCAAACACATGATTTATCATTTCCAGCGTGCTCTTGTATCGAAATCGAAGGAAGAACTACAACACACTCAACCAAACACTAACTTAATCAATACATACATACATACATATAGAGAGAGTGAGAGAGAGAAGAGTACCGAGATGATTGGCGCATATCTTAAGAGTCTTGGATTGTCGCATAACAAGCCTAACTTTAGTGGTTTGGGTGTGCTTGAGAAGCTTGACTGTACCAACACCTCGCTCTTTCCACTGATTTCCTTCTTTGTCAAATCTATAGAGCTTCGCTTTCCTACAATCAGCAATACGATTAACGGATGAGAATTTTATATTTCCCCAATTTTCTTCAGTTACTTCTCGGGAACCAAACAGAAAAGAAGAGAAAAAGGGGGCTTAGGTTTTGTGTTGGGAAATGGTACTGACAGATCGAGGAGGACGTCCTCGTTTTCTTCGCCGGTGGAGACGGCGACTTCTTGGAGCTTGACAATGGGGGCCACTTGTGCTCCGGTGTCTTCGTCTTCGGCTGTTGTTGTGTGTGTTGCTTCCTCTTCTTCTTCTTCTTTGTGCCGTGGCTCAGTCGAACTCGCCATGGAAGTGTATCAGAGAGAGAGAGAGCACTGATCGAGTTAGAGAGACAGAGAGGGAGAGAGAGACAGGGAGAGACTTTCGGCGCGTTGTGGGAGGAGCAACAATGGAGGTAGGGTTTTAGAGGATGATCAATGGATCCGTAAGCATCTGGGCCGTTCATTTCTGATTTGAGTTTTTTTGTTTGAAAAATGCATTTTCAATAAGAGTATATTACACTTTCTCCCCTTAAGTTTTATTATTTTATCAATTTAACCCTCAACAAATCCCAAATTCATTTTTTGTCCAATTTTGTGCTGAAAAGGCCAGTCATGTAACATAAAAATACAATATAATAAAATTTTGATTAAATTACACTTTTTATTAAGTTTCATTTCTTTTTGCTTTGGACTTTAATGTATTTTTTTCTTTTTTACTTTAGCCCTTAGTATATTTCTTTTTACTTTCGCCCACTATGTTTAGATTGAGTGATTTGGAGAGAAAAAAAATAAATTGACAGATATGTATTTCCCTTACTTGTTTGGATAATTTAAGTAGAAAAAATTTGGAAGAATGAGATAAACAGAGGGAAATTCATTTCTCTTATAACCCTCATTTCCAATCTTCGCAAAAGTAGAGAGATTGGGAGAGAAAAGAAATCAATAGATTCTTATATTTTCAGAATACTAATTTTGTTCCTGTAAAAATAAAAGAAATAAAATGATTGACATTTATGTCCTCAAGGGCTTTTCATATCCAGTAAAATGTTATTTTGGTAATATAACATAAAAAGGTTTTTTTTCTTTTCTCTTATAAAATCTAATCAAACAAGAAGGAGAGAAATCACAATCATTTCTTTTCTTTTATTTCTAATTTGTCTAAATAAGAATGGGAGAAATCACAATCATTTCTTTTCTTTTATTTCTAATTTATCTAAATAAGAATAGGAGAAATCACAATCATTTCTTTTCTTTTCTTTTCTTTTCTCTTATAACTTAAGTAATGTTTGTAATTTTTTTTAGTTTATCTCAAAACCAACTTTTACCCCCTCTTTTTTTTTCAGCCATTTTTTGATAAGTCATATTCTTAAGGATTTTGTTCCATAATAGTGATGCAGACCCTCACAATCTCCACTCACTTGTGATTGGTTCAAGTAAGAAAGAGAAAAAAAAAATAATAATACAAACACATTATTAATCCACATCATTGTGGGGATGGTGAGGGGTCTCCCCAAAAGAAGGTCCCAAACATTATTCTTTTGTTCCCTCTAACATAAATCGTTTCATAATCTTTCAGTAAGTTCCATACTTATCATTTTGTCCAAAACATCTATAGCACATTTTTGCGCATCTCTAGTTTTCAAACCAACGTAAAGGGAAATCAAAGGAACAGCTCGTATATAAATAGGAAACAATCGCGGAAAACCCTAAACCCTAAATGGGAAAACCATGAAACTTAAAGCTTCGTTTGATCACAAAAAATAAATGATTGGAAAGTAAAAAGTGTGGGGATATATTTTCTGAGTACCAACACGTGGCCAAGGTGACGCTAACGTGTCAGTCGAGATGCCACGTGTCCAGGTTATGGCGCCGAGGTGATCTCGGCTAGGCCGAGGTTATCTCTGAAGATATCGGAATCCGAGATAAGCAGATAAGGCACAAGAGTCCTAGGGTGAGGAAGGACTTTAGTGTGGATAAGGATAACACTCTTAGGGAGTTTATCTTTATCTCTTGAAGAGTCCAGGATAAGCACTGAACAGAAGTCCAATGAAGCTAGGCTTCTATGGGGACTAGGATGGAGTTAACTATAAAAGAGAGGCACTCCCGATGGGTCTAAGGTATGCAATTTAATTTATGAACAGTGAGTTTAGCACTATTAATTATCTTTGAGAGATATACTGACTTGATCGTTGGAGTGCCGCCGGGTGGAAGAACCACCACCGAAATCTTCTCTTTCTGTTGCAGGTCAGCAGGGTGTCATCTATTCTGTCAATTCTCTCCCGCTGATTACTGAGTTGGCAGTGTGATCAGAAAATCACTCATACAATTTGGCACCGTCTGTGGGAAAGAAAAAAGAATAAATGGCCAGTGACGGACAGAAGGAAAAGATTGGGGACGACACTCCTGCTGGGAGTGGCAGACCTATCGACCTTAACGTCGAAGAAGACAATCGCAACACAGAAACTCGTGACCAGAATCACAGCAAGAAAGACGTCGGCCAAGATGGCGACGTACCAAAGAAACCAGATCAAAGTGGGTACTACAATGAGGATGACCTCCAAGTATGGAAGAATAGATGTCTACGGAGAGACGAAGAAGTAAAAGAGATGGCGAACAAATTGACAGACCTGCAATCGGTCGTCAATTTTATGATGCAAAACAATGTCATGCAGCCACTGTTCCCGCTACAGAACACGTCGATTCCAGCGGCCATTACACAGAAGGGAGGGCAGAAACCAATCCCAGAAATCCCCCAGCACACCAGGAGCGAAAAACACTCTCACCGGCCTTCAATGGAGGTCGGACGAGGAGAGTCGAGGAAAGAAGAGTCGCGGAGGACGCATTGCGCCAACGAGGCTGACCCCAAAGAACATCGGCATGTTCAAGGGCAGGCGCTCTACTTCGACACAACTCACGGAGAAAGATCGAAAAGGACCCACCATGAAGCTGAGAGTAGTATGTCAAAAAACTGAAGTCAGGAGATAGCCGAGCTCCTGGACGGAGCAAAGAAGGCTTGAGAGATTACCTTAAGAGGAAGCAGCAGAATGCCGATGTCGAGGTAACTTCCCCTGAGAAGCCGAGAACACCATTCTCAGTGGAGTTGGACAAATTTGAGGCACTGAAGAGATTTAGTATGCCGAGGTTCCAAATATACGATGGTAAGTCAGACCTCAACTTCCACGTTGGATTATACTTGAACTCGATGACATTGTATAGTGGGAACGAGCCGTTGCTCTGCAAAGTGTTCCCCTCATCGTTCGGGGAGATTGCATCAGATTGGTTTCACAAACTACCGAAGGAAAGCGTGAAGACCTGGGAAGGCCTAGCCGAGATGTTCGTGGCCAGGTTCATGACAAACAAGTTGCAGCCATTAAGGGTGGACGCATTGATGGCTCTGAAGATCAGTAAGGATGAAGGCCTTAGAGCCTATGCAAAAAGATACTATGAGGTGTTCAACCGAATACCAGAGTGTAATCAAGAGGTGGTGGTCGTATCTTTCAAGAACGGCTTAAAAGACGACTGTCCACTACGAAAATCTTTGGCAAAGACATTGCCAAAAAAGTATGGAAGAGCTCATGGCGAGAATCGAGAAGTATGCCAAAGCTGAGGAAGATACATCGGGGACTAAGGAGGCAAAGCAAGAGAAAGGAAACGTCTCACCAAAATGAGACCGAGGTAACAATAGATTGAGCAAGCAAGAGACAGAACTGAGGGCTGCGCAGGCAGTGACAACTGTGTTCCGAATCCCAATTCACAAAGTCCTAGATCAAATTCGGAATCAACACTATTTCAGAACACCAGCAAAAGCACCAGGAGAATTCATGGGAAGAAACCTTGGCAGGCATTGTGCTTACCACAATGAAAACGGACATATGACTCAGGGCTGCATAGCCCTAAAAACACACTTGGAAGACCTGGTGAGGCAAGGCCATCTGAGAGACCTTGTCGATGAGGCCAGAATAAGGGAAGAAAAGGCAAGATTGCCTCAGGTGACAGCAGCTCCACCTCCCCCAGCACAGCAACCACAAGCAGGAGGACCTCGGGTAATTAATGTAATTCACTCGAAGGTCAACGAAAACGAGATTCAGGGGGAGACCCAGAAGGTAAAACACCTGCAACATGTCTACCAAGTCGGGGAGAAGAGACATCGAGCAGAGGAGTGCCAAGGACTAGTAGTGTCCTTTTCTGAAGCCGACCTTGAGATGGTGCAGCATCCGCATAATGATGCCTTGGTAGTATCCCTCCAGGTTGGGGAATGCCAAGTAAAGTGCATCCTGATTGACCAAGGCCGCTCTTGTGACATCATATACGTCCGATGTTACAAGGAGCTTGGCCTTCACCCAGACGATATAGAGCAATCTAATAGCCCAATGGTCGGGTTCAATGGAACGCCGACATGGCCACTGGGAACAATAAGCTTGGAGGTGCAGGCTGGCACCAAGAAGATAAAGACAGAGTTCACCGTAATCGACACACCCTCCCCTTACAACATCATTTTGGGAAGGCCATGGTTGCATGCAATGCTCCGAGGATTCGGCCATTTGACCCAGAGAGGTACCACCCGCAGGAGCACGTGCTGCCACCGAGCACTTTCCACCATTTTATGGATTTTGCGCGGCGAGCACCCGCAGACTTGTTATTACGAGAGCCAGAGTCCCACTTATCTCATCACGCGCGCGAGGTGCGTACTTCACGTTTACATTTTCCGCGATGCTTTTTGTATTTCTTGCACATTTCATGCTTTCACTATGTATTATATCTGCTTGTTCTGAACACATTTACATGCACAGCGTTTCTGCTCGTTCTAAACATAACTCACAACACAGTTTTCTATTCATTTGGCACATAGGTCACAACATAGCATTCTATTCATCCAGCACACAGCTCACAACACAATACTCTGTTCATTTGGCACGCAGCTCACAACACAATTTCAGGTAATTACACCATAAAATCACATAAATCACAATGATCGTAAAACACTAATCGGTTTCCAGTTCGGCCGCCGATAAGGCCCTCAATTAGCAGTTTAAACACAAAGACACGAACAGATAATCAAATAACCAAACAGATAGAATTACAATTAAACAGGTATACTCAGTCAATTCAGTTTCAATTTCAGTCAGTCAGTTCAGTAGTTTATTCAGTTCACTTATCAATCATAATCAGTTTCAGTTTAACGGTAATTAGTGGTTATTCGGTAAATAGTGACGAGGGTTGTTACAGATATACAAGATATTCTAAGTATGAAAGCATACAAGGAAAACATGCAAGCATTCAAAACAACAGAGTTGAATTAAAAGCACATCGGTGATGCAAAGAGTTTACATTGCTTCAAAAAGAAAAACAAAGTACAAAATACAAAAGAAAAAAGACATCAAAGTCAAGACTCTTCGGCAACAACAGATGGTTGGGTCTGAAGTTCGGACGACTGTTGGGAAGACACCTTGGCAGCCTTTTCCGCTGCAAGCTCGGCATCAATTTCTTGAAGGGTTTCATCAAGGCTCTTGTTGGCAAGAATCACGTCGGCTGATGCCTTTTTAGCTGTAGCATCTTTGGGAACCTCCCCACCCTCCTCATCTTGAGTCAAGTCCAGGACTTGCTCATTCAGAGAAGGGGACTTGGTCCTAGCAGCCTCCTTTGATTTCCTCACCAAGGTCTCCTCCTCAGACTCAGATTTGTCGTCGGATTGACTTGGAGTTGAAAGGAATGGAAGATGAATGACGTCGACGTTCCTAAGGGGCGAGTCCTCGGGGACTTCAAGCTTTTTTAGAAGAGACATCCAACCAAGAGTGAAACCCTTGTTGCATGCCTGCTTTACTTGCTTTTCATAGTCCACCGTAACATCAGCCACCCCCTCATTATAGCCCTTCTCATCGGCTGCCTTGAGCTCGGCGTCCTTCGTGGCCAAGGCCTTTTGCAATTCTTTCTGGGCCTGGGCCGTTTTCTCCTCAACCTCCCTCTTTTCAGACTCAAGAACCTTCTTTATGGCCTCGGCAAATTCTGCTTTTTCTTCGGCAACATTTTGGGCCTTGATGGCAGCCTCAACTTGGTCTTCCAACTTCTTCATTTTTGATTGTAAGCTTTTGTTGGCCTTTTGCAGACTAGCAACTTCTCTCTTCTTATCGGCCAGTTCTTTTCGGTTCTCAAAGGACTGAATTGAGAAGGAATGAGCATGTTGGATGGCTTGAAAGTGACCTAGACAAAAGTTATTAGAAAATTTTCTAAGTACAATAAAGAAAGAAAAATGACCAAATAAAGACACTCACCTGGACAGAACGCTAGAGCATCAGAGCATAGTTTTCATATTCACTCAACTCGGCGTTTCGGTCGAGATCGCAGGGAAGGAGCAGAGCAGTACTAAGGGCAACGCCAACATTAATGTCATCGGCGCTGTCGCTAGCCCTAATTGGCTTATCCTCCAATGTGATATCGGGAGCCTAGGGGGGAATCCTACTTTCGAGAACCCGATGTGGTTGCAGTGGATGACCTCGGCTTCTTTGATTTTGGGGATTCAGATGGTTGGGCCTCGGCTGACCTCTTTTCGGCAGCAGATGTGGTCTTCTCACTCTCAGCCAATTTCAAATTTGGCAAAGTATTTTCAGTGTCAACCTGAGTCACCTTTGCTTTTGGCTAAGCCTTCTTTATTCTTTTCGGCTTCGCATGGGGGCTGAGATTGCGCTGGTGGAGCGTCGATGGTTGATGGGATGCTGGCCAAGAGATCTTTTGCAACAGCTTTTTGACGGCCCATCTCGGCAAAAAAAATGGTTCGTCGCCGGCATTGTCGTTGGGATATCGAGATCAGATATAGAGCCGAGGTTGACGGCTGCTCAGCTGGATCAGAGGTCGATCCTTGATCTTGCCGAGATGTGGAAGCAGTCTGAGGAGTTGTGGCAGAAGGAGGAGACAGACTCTTTTTCTTCTTCTTTTTTGGGATGTCGGGAAGAGCCGACTTATAAGTAGGGATGAAGTTGAGAAGCAGAGGGGCCTTCCGCTTGTGGACTGGCAAATTCAGTAGTTTCTTCAAGTCTTTGCTGGGAAAGAAAGACTGGCGGAAGCCCTTTGGTGGCTGAGGAAGAGCTGCAAAAAAAACAGACATTAGAAACAAATATAGTATCGAAGACTTTGAAACAAACAAGTAATATGGACACAGGGCTCTTACCATTGCCCTCTACAAAAACTGATCGAGGAAGAGGGTAGAGATGGAGGTTCTCGTCCGGAGCGAATTCCCAGTTCCCCGAGGTAATGAAGTAATCATCTCCAGCTCCCTTGTTGGAGTCTGGGAGGTCGGCTCTGATTTTGTATTCTGTGGACCTCGGCTTAAGGTAGTAAATGTAGCCCATATCTTTTTTGAGGCCACACATGGTGTAGCAGTATTGGATGTCGGCTAAAGTAATCCTAGCATTTTCTTGTTTCGCTAAGGCAATTATACCGTTGATAACTCGATAGGAATTGATGGCAAGTTACATAGGGTTCAACTTATAGTAATGAAGTATTTCACGAAAAAGCGTGTTCAGTAGGAACCGAAGTCCGCATTCGATAAAGGCCACTATAGGGAAGGGCATAAAATCAGTGGTGGGCATGATGGAGTTGTCATCCCCAGCCAACCTCAAATGGACGTCGGTAGGGATGGAAAACTCTTGCCTAAAGTATTCTAATTTTATCGGGGTGTCTACCCTATGTTTCCACATACCCATGATATCGGCTTAACTGAAGGGGTTGGATTTTAGAAGGGTGTGTTCCTAAAGGGTTTTATGGACCTCGGCTAAAGTTGGAGGATACACAGAATTAGTGAGGAATCATTTTAATTTTCCTTAACAATTGTTTTGAGTTCTACAAACAAATCTCAAGCCTAGATCTATGGAAACGAAGATTGAAGGCACAAATCTGGAAAACAGAAAAGCAAGAACGCGCTTCAGAATCAAGAACAAAAATGGACTATCAAGAACATTGTAAATACGAAGGGTAACAAGCTAGGAACAGTAGCAAAAGTACAAGAAAAAATTGGCAAGCAGTACGTACAGTCAAGACATGAGCAAGAGCAAAATCGTGGAATAATCACATTCAGATATATGATTCGCAAATCGAATGTTTGAAAAAAAGCAGTAATGGTAACAAGTAATGAAAGGCATCAAAAACTGAAAATAGGAGAAGCAGTAAACTCACCAAAGAGAGGAAGCCGGTGTTGAGTTCGCCGAAGTCCGACGAACGGCAGCTACAGAGAGGATTAGCAAGAACCTCGCCGGAGGAGGTGGACGGAGCGAGTTGTAAAGCTTCGGAAGCTTGAACAGTGAAGGGTTTGGAAGAAAAAGATAGAAAGAAAAAGCTTCAGAGACGATGAAGAAAAATGAGGAAATAAGGAAAGGGGGAAAATTTTTTGTTAAAACTTGAAACAGCAGCAAAACAGAATTAATACGCCTAAAACAACGTGAGCGTTAGACGGCGCACGCATGCGCGAGACGATTTAGAAGCACGTACCGAGTACGATCCAGTAAGAGAAGGACACGTGGCTAAAACGGTTGAATTGTGATGCATGACAGCTCATACGTGTGAAGGAGATCTTGGAAACTTTTAAAAACCTTAAGGAGGCATGTCGGCCTATAATGATGATCTCAGCTTAAGCCGATGTACTGGCAGGAAGTACCGATATAGGTTCCATCACCTCAGAATGCCAAGGTAATAGAACCTAGGAGTTCTGGGGATATATTTTCTAAGTACTAACATGTGGCCAAGGTGACGCCGATGTGTCAGTCGAGGTGCCACGTGTCTAGGTTATGACACCCAGGTGATCTCGGCTAGGCCGAGGTTATCTCCAAAGATATCAGAATCCGAGATAAGTGGATAAGGCACAAGAGTCCTAGGGTGAGGAAGGACTTTAGTGTGGATAAGGATAATACTCTTAGGGAGTTTATCTTTATCTCTTGAAGAGTCCAGGATAAGCATTGAACAGAAGTCCATTGAAGCTAGGCTTCTATGGGGACTAGGATGGAGTTAACTATAAAAGAGAGGCACCCCCGATGGGTCTAAGGTACACAATTTAATTTCTGAACAGTGAGTTTAGCACTATTGATTATCTTTGAGAGATATACTGACTTGATCGTCGGAGTGCCCCCGGGTGGAAGAACCACCGCCGGAATCTTCTCTTTCTGTTGCAGGTCAGCAAGGTGTCATCTATTCTACCAGTTCTCTCCCGCTGATTACTGAGTTGGCAGTGTGATCGAAAAATCACTCACACAAAAAGATAGAGGGTGAAGTAAAAGAAAATAAAAAGAAAGTAAAATATATTTCTTGCATAAATTTGATTAGTATGAAAATTTTATAAGAAAATAGAAATTCTAATTATAACTAACTAGCCTATCACCCATGCTATATACGGGATAATTATATTTGTTTTAGATTTTTTTTAATATACAAATTATTTTTTTTAGATTTTTTATAAAAGTAATTTAACAATCTTATCACTAACCATAGTGTATCGGAGAAGTTGAAAAAGGTGCTGCAGTAACAATGCACGGGTTGTATCTATAATTATTTGTATAAGGGAATTTTGACCAAAGCTCTCAAAAGGCATGTGGAAAAGTATGTGGATTGAAAAAAGTTAATAAATATTGATCAAGTGATGTTGACCAAATCAATAAATATTGAGGTTTTTTTTTTTTTTTAAATCAAAAATTTAGAAAATTAAGATTGGGATATTAAAACTCTCACAAAGCTTGGAGGTTAGAAACTCAATTTTCCTTATATATAGAAAACATAGATAGATAGATAGATAGATATAGATATAGATATAGATAGATGGATTTAGATAGATAGATAGATAGATAGATACATATAGATTATATTAAAGTTTAATATTTTGATAATAATCATATGTGTTAGAATTTTCAAGGAATTTTGTTTATGCTAGTCTTTAATGCATTAACGTTTAATTATGAGGGAGTTTTGACTAAATCTCCCAAAAGGTATGGGGGTTGGGAAAAATTAATAAATGCAGAGATTTTTTTATTTTTTTAAATTAAAAAATTAAAAAATTAAGATTGAGATATTGGAGCTCCCATAAGGTTTGTGGGTCAAAAATCCCATTTCCTTATATAATACTAGTCTATCACCTGTGCTATGCACGGGATAATTATAGATATTTATATTTGTTTTAAAAAAATTTTAATATATAAATTAGGCAGTGGCTTTGGTCCAGTCCAAGATCGGACTGGACCGTGCTGTTGGGCCCGTGGCAGCCCATCACGGGTCCTGTTTTGATAATCTGAACCATTCAATGTGTAGAAATCGTCGAGTACTATATGCCTGTAAAAAAATCACGTTGAACGGATATCGAAAGTTATGTGAACAAAACAGTTTTTTATCAACTGTTTTCACCGTCCATTTTTTTTTTATACAAAACTGATTTGATCACATAGCTATTGATATCCGATTAATGTGATTTTTTAGAGGCATGTAGTACTCGACGAGTTCTACACATTGAACGGTTCAGATTATCAAAACGGGCCCAAAAAATGGACCCCATGGGGCGAATTGGATGGGTCCAGTCTTGATCTCAACTTGAGACAAGCTGGACCCTATAAATTATGTTTTTAAAGATTTTTTATAAAAATAATTTAACAATCTTATCACTAACCATAGTGTATGAGAGAAGTTGAAAATGGTACTCTAGTAACTATACACAGATTGTATCTATAATTATTTGTATGAGGGATTTTAAATGCTGATCAGGGAATTTTGACCAAATCAATAAATGTAGGCATGTGGAAAGACATGTAGATTGAAAAAAGTTAATAAATGATGATCAGGGGATTTTGACCAAATCAATAAATGTTGAGTTTTTTTTTTTAAATAAAAAATTTAGAAAATTCATATTGGGATATTGAAGCTCCCACAAGTCTTGGGGGTTAAAAATCTCCTTTTGCTTAATATATAGTATAGATTACTTTTATAACATCTTTTAACTTTTTTGTATTTTTCTATTTTTTTGGTAAGAAACTATAAGCTTAATTATCATGTTATTATGAGTTGTACAAGAAAATAAATTTTTTTGTGACTTCCACCATTTTCATAATAAACAAGCTCAAATTTTTTTATTTATTTATTTTTCCATTTCTTTAGCTTTGTATCATTTTCATCCTAATTAAACTGGGCCTTCATTTTCATCCTAATCAAACTGAGCCTGAGGGGGGTATTATGTAATTTACCTTTTCAATAACAAATTTTAAAACAATAAATTACACTAGATTCCTTTAATGTTTAGTGAATAAATTTGTAAGTTTAGTATAATTATATTATACTCCTCTAAAGTTCGAATTCACAATACATTTAACCAATTTTCATCAATAATTCATTGGTCATACATGGATAAGAAAATGATATTGTCATATATTTTACATTAACATGTATATTTTACCTTGTATTTTTGTATTTTCACACATTCTACATTAGTTTTAGTCATTTTAATCTTCTAAAAAGATGTTAGTATAATTATGCTAAAACTATTGAACTTTTTATGTTATAATTATACTAAAACTATTGAACTTGTATTTTTTTTTTTAAAACCTAAGGAGGTCAATATAATTTATCCATTTTAAACATACATTGTTTCGTTAAATTTTTTAAAGAGGTATTTACATACAAGTCATAATTTATGAACTTATTATATTCCATTGAGTCATACTTAAGATTTTTTGGACTTTCAAATTCCATTAAATTTTTAATAGTTAAAATTGACTTTCTAACAATGATTGT